ATGGGAGTGTCAGAGACAGTGCGATTGGCACAGGACAGAGCAGAGTTTAGGGCTGTTGTACATAGGGTCGCTATGAGTCACAAGCGACTCGATGGCACATAACAACAACAACAACCAGTCAATTAATTGTCTTCCAAATTTCTTGGCATAGACTAGTGAGCATGTCCAAGGCTGCATCTGTTGTTGAAACAGATACTATACTATATATTGTTATTATATGCCATGGAAGATAGCTTTAAACATCCTTTGGGTAGACAGTGCAACAAGAGGTCTATCAAAATTAAAAAATATCTCCCCATTTTGAATTTCTGAATTTCTGGTAGGTCTTTGTCTATACTGTCCCAGCGAGTTTTGAATAATTTTCAGAAATATTTTGCTTGCATGTGAAATGCTGTTCTATAATCTTCACATTCTGTTGGATCACCTTTTTTAAAAAAAAAAAATGGAAATAAATATGGATCTCTTCCAGTCAATTGGCTAGGTAGCTGTCGTCCAGACTTCTTGGCACTGACTGGTAAACACATTACAGGCTGTCTCAAAGATAAAGCAACAGGTCATTACAAAGACAGAGGAGAAAAAGATCAAAACGGATGTCAGAAGAGATTCTGAAAATTGCACGAGAGCATTGAGAATCCAAAATGAAGGAAAGAGATGATGGAGTAAAAGAGTTGAACAGAAAATGTCAAAAAGTAGCTCAGGTAGACAAAGTAAAACATCATAGCAAAATGTGCAAAGAGCTGGAGTGAGAAAACAAAATAAAACAAAAAGGGTAGAACTCATCAGCCTTGCTCAAGATGTAAGAAAGAACTGGAGAATAAACAAATCCAAGCCTCAATTTACAAAACAAAAGGATGCCATAGGCAAAATCTTGAATGATTAAGGAAGCATTCAGAGAAATGGAAGGAATACAAAGAGTTACCGTACCAAAAAGATTTGGCTAACACGGAACCATTAAAATGGTTTCTAAAGGAAGCAATAGCCAATGGTAATAAAGGAAGATGTTCAAGATACACAGAAAAATTTGGCAAAAAAGAAGGCCCCTGAATTTGATGAGTGGGATACAATATATAATATGTATATTGTCTAGTGGCAAGAAGCTGTGCTGCAACCTCAAAGGCATGAGGTTCAAATCCACCAGCTGCTCCATGGAAGAAGGATGGACAATCTTCTCCTGTGCGATTAGCTGCCTCTGAAAACCCACAAGAGGGTCAGCTATAGGTTGATTCCGACTCTATGGTACACAACAACAACGTGTGTACATTTGTGTGTGTGTGTATATATATACACATCTATATTGTCGTTATATGCTGTCGTGTTGACTGCAGCTCATAGCGACCCTATGCATAGTAGCTCTGTACCCTGCTCTCTATATATACTGAGTCAGTCTCACTGTCTCGATACACACCTATCACCATTATCCCAGTTACTGTGTCAATCCATCTCATTCAGTGTCTTCCACACTTGTGCTGACCCTTCACCCTCCCAAGCATGATGTCTTTCTCCAGGGTCTGGACCCTCTGGGAGCAACATGCCCAAAATATGTGAGGCAGAGTATATGAAATACAATGTGAATGAAAGATAGTGTCAAACAGTGTATATAAACTTCGTAAGCAAATCAACATAATTTTTTTTTAAAAAAAGAATAAAGTATGAAAAATAATCCTTGCCTCCAAGGAACAGCTTGGTTTCATCCTCCCCAAGAACGAACCTGTTTGTTCCCTTGGCAGTCCATGCTTTGTTCAATACTTTTCTCCAGCACCACAGCTCAAAGGCATCAATTCTTCTTCTATCATATCTAGTCATTGTCCTGATCTCTGATGCATAGCAAGAAATTGCGAAGGCCATGGCTTGGATCAGGCACACCTTAGTCTCCAAAATGACATCGTCAGTCTTTAGTACTCTGGAGCAGTCTCTGACAGCAGAATTTCCCTATGCAATTCGTTTATTTGAATACCAGGCTGCTGGAACCAAAAGTGTTGATTGTGGAGCCAAGGACACGAAATATATAATAAAATTACTGCCAAGAGAACAAATCGGTCTGTACTGGGTGAGGTAGGTGTGTCAGAATCAGTGAGACTGACCCAGAAAAGGGGAGAGCTGCTGCACAGAGTCCCTACGAGTCGCAGACTCATGAGTCATAGCTCACGCTATGAGGTGCACAGAACAACAACATTAAATCAGATATTAAATGCTCATTGATTTTAGGTATGACTCGACGGCACATAACAACAACAACAACATTCTTTATTATTTACGTGCGGGAATTAGGACGTCTTTATTTTGTCCCCTCCTCTAAGATGTTCACTTCAAAATAAACGGCGGATATAGCCTAAAAAGTGAACTGCGGTCGAGAAAAATGGCTTCAACTACCGGCGGAAGTACTTTCCGTACCAGGTCTTAGAAGCTCAGGAAGGAGCCGATTTTTTTTTTTTTTAAGGAGCCGAATTTTTTTACCTGCCACCAAAGGTAAATAAAATAAATTTTAGCACATAAATGCATATGTGTCTAATAAAAAGTTCTCTTGGCATTATTTTGCAGAATTATTTATTTGGCAGTTAGTTTTTCGTCGACGGATACGCAACCGGATGTGCTTTCTTTTTCCTGTCAGGACCTAGAGGTTATGTCCCATCAGTCCTAGCGCCCGGCACTTCTCTTTCCTTCCGTGCTTTCTACGGAGGTGGTTGTCAGCTGCCACTGGTAAGTCTCAATCTATCGCCATCCGCGGTTTCCATCAGGTCCCACCGTCCCCTGATGAGGTAGCCTTCTATTTCTGCGTTCTTTTAGTTTTATATGGACTTTGTTTGCTTTCTGGAGCGCGCAGAGGAACCCATTGAAGCGGCTGGAGTCACGATGAAGTTTTCGGCTCTCAGGGCCTCCCGCCTTCCTATGGAGGCCGCCTTGTTTCAGCACCTCCTCTGCCAGGTTGAGGCCAGACCACGGGGATTCCTGGGGCGGTGTACTGACTGGGGTGCCTGGGTGCTGGTGGCCCTGGGTTTAGATCCTTCCAGCGCCACACCCAGCGACGTCTGCCCACGTGTGTCAGTGCCGCAGCCTGATGAACCCTGCCTCTCGCGGGTGTCCTCCTGGGGGAGTTTGCTGCTGCTGTGCGGGAACTGTGCGAATATCATTTAATAACTGCAGGCCTTGAGAATATTATGGTCGCAGGAGAAGTGATTTGTTCATTAAGCAGTTTTCGTTGAGTACTGTGTGTCACAAGAAGTACGTTGACTACTACAAAGAAAAGGAAAAACAGGTGTTACAGTTGAATCTATATGTTTTAGCGGGGCAGACGCCTCGAAGGAGCGAACCCTTGAGGCTGATGGCCCCCAGGTAGAACAACAGGATGTTCAAAGACAGGCATTCTAGAGATGTGTCATGGTATTGTGGTCCTGTATTTCAGCATGTCTTCTTCTTGGAGGATTAGAAATCTCTTAATTAGATATTTCTCGAGTGCCAGGGATTATGTAAGCATTTTACGGATGAGAAAACAGAATTCTCATCTGTGTATTTCTCGCAGATAAATGTCAAGTTGATATACTTTAATCTTACATGTGCAAATCTGTAACCCACAGGAAATCGAGCCATCTAGGGGTCCGATTAATTTGTGGAGTAAGAGTCACTGGGCTTGCAAACTGGGATAATCTTGATCTCGGCTTCTGGCATTCTTTCTTGATTTCTGAATGAAGCGCCTTACCCTCCCAGAATCGCATCTGGAGAATGGCTAGTATTCTCCCAGCTTCGGACACTGGAGGGAAAGCAAGCCTGTCAGAGACCCATTCCATTCCCAGTTGATTCAGTAGCTGGTGTTTGGAAGATACTCTGCAACAGTATTCAGGACCTGGTCAGGTAAGCCACCTTCTAAGAGGCTTCTAACTCACATTTGTCTTCTTTCTTGAAGGCATAATGGCTGCCCTCAGACCCCTGGTGAAGCCAAAGATAGTCAAAAAGAGGACCAAGAAATTCATCCGCCACCAGTCAGACCGTTATGTCAAAATTAAGGTATGTAGCCAGTTTAAGACAAAACATTTGTGTTGGTGAAGAAAAGAGTTGCACAGTAGGTTCTTGTGCTTCTGGTATCACATCACATAGTTGAAAAGGTAGTTTTGGCAAATGAACAAGTTCCAGGTTGGTAGAAGACCTTTCTGAACAAACCCAAGTCTCCCTCAGTCTCTTAAATATAAACTGCATTTAAATGATAGGGGACACTTGGCTGTCTCTTAAATATAAACTGCATTTAAATGATAGGGGACACTTGGCTGGTTACCATCTGAGGCTTTGAATGAGCTCTGGTTGGCACTGCTTCAGTGCTCTCCCAATCACTCATGAGTCTGAACCTACTCAACAGCTGACATCCCCCTCCCCATGGGTTTTCAGAAGGCTCTAAATCACGGTGAACTTGCTCATCTTCTGCCTGCTGGTTCAGTCTCAGCAGTTGAATAGAATGTGGCATTCTGCTTTGTCAGTTACAGCCTTTGAAATCGTATGGAGTAGTTCTCCTCTGTTATATTCATCATAGTGGATTTGATTTAGGCTTTTAGTGGGACTTTTTGCAGTGTATTTCCTTGGCCTTATAGCACATGGTATGTCTGTTATAAATTAGATAATGCAGGTGCTGAGAGGAAACGTGCAAATCCACACTTCACATTAACAACTTGCTTCCCATACATCCACCAAATTTTGTTTAGGAGTGTGGTTGGTTCCACTACTTCAAATAGGGACCTCTGGTGGCCTAGTGGTAAAGGCTTGCCCTGCCAACCCAGAGGCAGGTGGTTTGAGTCAGCTGCTTCAGGGGAGAATGATGGGTGATCTCCAGTGCAACTTCACAGCCACTGAAAGGAGGGTCCGCTATGAGTTGCTTACAACTTAATGGCACATACCAACACAAATTTTCAGGGTAGTGGAATCTGCTGACTGAAAGATGAGCAACAGTATTTCCATTTTAGAGCTGTTGCCTCCCAAAAAGAAGAGTTAAAAATATACACACTCAGCCAACTGTTTTGTGGTTCCTTTCAGCGTAATTGGCGCAAGCCCAGAGGCATCGACAACAGGGTTCGGAGAAGATTTAAGGGCCAGATCTTGATGCCCAACATTGGTTACGGGAGCAACAAGAAGACAAAACACATGTTGCCCAGTGGCTTCCGCAAATTCCTAGTCCACAATGTCAAGGAGCTGGAGGTGCTGCTGATGTGTAACAAGTGAGTTGATGGCTTTGGGGTTCAAAATTCTCCATCTGAGCCTTTGATGGGTATGCTGGGCACGCATGTGGAGAACTGCATATTCTGGGAAATCCTACAGGAGGAGTTTAGAGAATACTACTGGGGCATAGAATATCTGCTTTGAGGATACCTCAGAAGTGTAAATCCAAGACCAAGAAATAGGACTTGGACTTGACCCCAAGAACACTGTTAGTCTTTTTCAGATTAGTGCTTTATTTATGTGGATGAATTTTTCAGAATACTACAGGGACAGGGGGGCTGCTACCTGGATTTGATAGATAGCATGTTAGAGCTGTGAGTGATCTGAAGTGCAAAAGAGGAGTTGAGTTAGACTTTAGGTAAAAAGTTCACACAAAGGTATACAACCATGGTAGTGTGCAGTGAATTACTTGTAGATGTTCTGAGCATTTAGATATTTGTTGGACTCTTGAGAGACTTCAAGTCAAAACTTGAGTACTGGAAGAATTCTAAAGATACTCCTTGGGAATTGACACGTATAATAGAAATAAGATTTATACCTGTTTTGCAGCAAAAAAGAATTTTTCATTTGTATTAGAACTGGTAAGTTCTTATTACCATGATAATGTTTCTAGAGTAGCTTGACATGCATCTAGGTATAAAAAAGTATTCTGTCAATAACCTTTGATTATGTAAGATCAATTTCTGAGTTTATTCTTAAGTGGCATTAAAAGGGGAAATTAATAACCTGGTGTTGATGACAGTGACTGAAAAATTGGAATAATTTGAAAATGCATTTCACTGGATGGAGATGTTCCACATGTTAAAAATTACTGTGCTATGCCTAAATTGGAATTGTTTTAAATTAGTGTGTAGATAGGATTTTGATCATTATGTATGTGGACAAATGGCACAGTTTAGAATAAGGTCAAAAGATCAAGAGTGTGTGTGTGTATATCTTTTTAAACTTTAGTCTGTAAGACGAAACCTTTTGGAAGTGCTTGTTCTTGCTCTTTCCAGGGTTCCTGCGAACCTTCTGTGCCTCTTATTTCAAGGGCATAGTCTTTCTGTACGCCATTTTTGGTCACTTCACCGAAGTGTGAGCACATTTGGCCAACTTGATAGCAAACTAGGGTGCTCTGTTGACTGACTCCTAGAGAGTTGCACCTCTGGCAGTTCAAATCTAGCAGTGCTTCTGCTCAAGAAGGATGGGCCGTCTTATCTGAAGCCCAGCCTCTTTAGGGCTGCGTAGAATGAATACATAGGAACTGAAGAAATGGGAGGTATTGCGGCTACCTGGAGAACATCATTTAGCTTCAATTTGTCAGGGAGCAAACAAGCCTGCCGTCTGGGATAGATAGCCTTCTTGATTCTGACTTGACTTCTTCCTTAGCCACTTTTTATAGACATTTTGTGTGCACGTTTATGCTCTTAAAGAGTATAGTTGAGGCCTCTGACATGGAGTCTGGGACAGGGTCTTTGGCCTGCCACTACCCGCTGTGTGTGTTCTTCCTTGCTGGGCTTTTGATTTTTTTCAAAGAAATGATAGGATGGCAGTAAGACTTAAGACTGTGTGGCTGATGAAGGGATGAAATGAGAGAGATGATGATGAAAGCACTTGGTACATACAGTACGTTGTCTGGGTACCAGGGGAAATAGAGCCTTCCCAGAAGGATGCTCTATGTGAGGAAGGCCCATACCTCACCTACTTGTTCTGTTTTATTCCAGATCTTACTGTGCTGAGATTGCGCACAATGTTTCCTCCAAGAACCGCAAAGCCATTGTGGAAAGAGCAGCCCGGCTGGCCATTAGAGTCACCAATCCCAATGCCAGACTGCGCAGCGAAGAAAATGAATAGAAAGCTTGTTTGCACATTTTATTTGTGCTAAATAAACCATAAAAACTGCCATCTAGTGTTTTCTTGGTGTTAAGTTTTCAACTTCTTGACTTACTGTTTGTCCCAGAGATGGCTCTTTTCCCTGTTTGCTCTAGTGTCTTTCACTTGGAGAAAAGATCCTCTTTCAAATGATCTTCGGTACACAGACTAACCCTGACAAGCTCCTGGTGGGCTGAGGTGAGAGGAAGACAGCTCTCAAGGGGCTTTATGAAGTCCCATCAGTTACAAAGTTTTCAGAGGACTGAGAGAAAATGTCAATGTTTGATGTCTCTTAGGCTCTTGTTACATTAATACATGGATGTAAATACAGGATGACATCCCAACCCTACTTTTGACCAATCTTCCACATTTGGAGGTAACTCCTTAAAGCTGCTTCACCCCAGGATACTACCTCTTAACGTCCTAAAACCGTCCCAAAGAAAGGGTTCACTTTTAACACTTGGGTTAATTGAACCAGTCAATTCCTTAGATGATGCAAGATAAAATGGAGTAAGTATAAGTGGGTTTGATTTTTTTCAGATCAACCTTAAATTTGGTTGGATAACTCATACTGAGACTTTATCCTAAACATTTAATGAGTGAATTAGTTGGTCAT